ATTTGATATGGCAAAATCGGATATTTACAAAAGCACAAATTCCAAATAAATTATATAAAAATTCTTTTCAATATCCCTTTTGCATTGCTTATTTACCATTTATAAACGTACCTATTGTGTTATCGTGTTCGCTGTTGCTTCAGTAATACTTGACGATGACCGTCTGATAAAAACGGAAGAAAAATGCCCACCTGCATCGAAACTTTCTTCAACTGGTTTATCACTAGAGTTCAACATCCGTCAAACTATTCAAGGCTAAATCTTCAAAATTTATCTGTAAAATCGGACGACGCGTTTTATCCTATTAAAATATGTTAACATTTAACAAATGCATTGGGTTATGATAGTTTATTTACGAATTCAATACATCAAAAAATATCAGAAATCGATAGCTTGGCTACGCATGCTCTCACCCTTACCAAAGGTCAAGCTTTATACCATACAAATTGTAACTGATCAATTGCCCCCCCTCCTTTTCCTTTTACATAACCTACAGTATAGCCATCATATTTCACTATCTCATGTATATCACCAGTCTGGTTGCTACCATAAAATGGACTTGAACGATTATACGTTGTATAAAATTTTATCCCAACAATGATTTTAGTTGTAGTATCCGGTCTCCAGTCATTTGCAATATATCGTTCACCATAAACGACATCGATTTTGTTTATTCGTTCATTCTTGTTCATTAATGTAACATTGAAAATATGACATTTGCTACCTTCATCTCCGTGTCTATCTGCTCGGATTATTGATATATGATCAGAAGTAGAAGAAGAGTAAGAAGATTGAATTGAGTTTAAACGATCAGACCATGTTACGCCAATTGAACTACAATAATGGTAATAGCTAAAGGAGTATGTTAAAGAATCATCAAAAATATCTCCCCCATCACCTCCAACTGCTTTACCAAGCTTAACCATAGAAAAATCTTCTAAACAATAAAAAAAATAATTTTGGTAAATTATGGGATCATTAGTTGTGCACACTTCTATGTTGCTGCTTATAGGCGTGCAACAGTCTTAAGCTAGGGCTCACTGATCGGCATCGAACGCGTCGCAACCGAACATGCTCGGTCACCGACCGGTTCGGTAACGAATCGTTCGCTGTCGATCAGCGACACCCAGCTTGGGATTGTTGTATGCCTAGTCTGCACTAAAGTCAAACGAGATGAAATTGAAGTTTTTGAAGGAACTAACCAGTGAGAAAATAGACTAACGAAAGTACTATATGAGCGAATGTGTGTTCTGCCGGATCGCTACCGAACATGTTCGATTAGCGAGCGGTTAGCTACCAAAAGGTTTAAAAAAACAGTTTGTCAAAGCTGAGAACATGAGAGCGAAAAAACACATGAAAGAAATCTTTATAAAACAGAAAAAATGCTGAAGATCACACCAGACGAAGCAGCAGCCATGATTATACCGTAGCCGTTGGTAGTCATGTAAAGAAAAGTTTGAATCAAAGCAGCAGCTTTATTTTTGTTTTATTCGAGGAAGTTCAAAGTACCTTTAGTTTCTAAAGCATACTTTACTAATGTGGCCTCTATAGCAGATTGATCTACTTTGTTTTCATGCAAAAATGCTTTTCCTCACTGTGCAAATAAAGCAGACAAAAAGTTGTAATCCTACTTCGAATGTACCTTTATAAGGTTTATGGTACTTTACTCTAATAGTTCCTCAACCGCGCGCTCGCCGAACTATCGGATTGATGCATGCCTAGCTGCTTACCTATTGAATCACAATGATAACGGACATACAATTCTTTGGCGTGATTGTTACATGGAGGATCACTATTCTCTGGCACTGTAACTGTTTGTGTTGTACCTAGAATTAATCAGAAGATGATTAAAAAGTTCACTCTATAAAAATATAATAGTGAAATTTTTTACTTAGGATACAGTCGCATGGATGATCTAAAAGCAAATTAAAAAGAAGTTGTTTAGGTTATCCAAAAAAAATCTTCATGAGAATTATACTAGTCTAGAAGATGAAGCAAGAGGGACTTACTCTCTTCTGACACAATTAATTGCCATAATTGAGTGTCTTTATTTAAATTTGATTTTGATTGACTTATGCTGAAGTCATTTGATCGACTATCTAAAGCTTTGCCAGTTGCTACACTTACTATTTTACAGTAATTTTTTTTAATATGTATTAACTTAAATTGCTGGTTTCTGTTGTCTTTATCTGATTCATATTGCTGCACCTTTATATTATCATGACTTGAACGATGTGGTATATCTAATGCTTTTCGATTGTAAACAGATTGTATGATATAAACATTTTTTTCTCTATGATCAACAACTGAGGTAAAAAACCATTGTTGTTGCCGCTGCTGTGTCGTTTGATCAGCAACTGCTGTTGATAATTGATAGATAGGTTCTTTATCTTTAGACGTATTGCCTGATGTGACAAATTTGAGTGTATGTACTGATCTGATAAGATATAATACATTAGCGTTTGGTGGTTGACAATATTTTTCTAAAATGAAAATGTTTTTATTGAGAATATAGGGAACTAGGAAATTTTTTTAAGTAAACACTAGAAAGGCAACAGACTACAAAAACATTTTTGTTGTCTCGTGGCTCGATGAAGAGAGAAGGGAGAGAAATTTTTCGCTTAAAGTGTTTAGTTGCTCCACTTTTATATTTTTCGTATATTATTTAATACAACGATGATTAACTTAGATTTGTCGTTCGGTTCTTTTGCATGTTATGCGCTTTGGTGTAAAACCCTTGTGACAATGCTAGAATACCCTTTTTCCTTACACAGTTTTATATCTTTTCGATGTTTCGAAATGCTGTTTGTTGTAAGACCAAAACTTCGATACAATTCACGTTTTTGAACTCGTTTTTACTACACATGCTTCAAAGATGAACGTTTGACGTTTGGATTCGACCATAATTCGACATTCGAGTTCGCCTCTAAACAATTTCGGTTCGGGTTCAAGCACGACTCCGAAAATGTTCGAACAGTCGAGTTCGAGATCAAGTGGTTATGAAAACACACTATTATACCATTTGATCAGACATTTTTTCTGTTAAATCCTAGTTATGTACCTATTAATGTTTTTTCTTTCACTTTTCGCATTTTGACTCGAGAAATAATGAAATAACAGAGTTCTTCAAACGAAGCAAGCGCGAATTATGGTCCAATAGTAACAACTATGTCTAGCAATAGTAATTCATTCCGTAGCACGGAATCAAGGGTAAAAAGTGAAATATTATAATCCCTCAAGACTTGCAGTATCAAAAAAACTTTTAAGCATGTTCTGCGAACCGTGTCTAGTAAACATTGATGCTAATGCTACGTTGACAATAATTCAAAGTCGAACTCTCGAATCCGAACTCGAACTTTCCTAGCTCGACCTCGAAGTATTAGTTCGAATTCGAAAGTCCAATAGTTCTGCATTGAACTTCCTCGAATCCGAACTGTTCGAAGCCGAACCTTTGTTCGAGCTCGACGCATTCCTAGTTTTTACCACGACTAACCTTTATTCTTAAGTAAATGTATGATGGTTATAATGGCTAGAATTGTGATAATAATGCCAATAATACTCAGGCATAAAAAGTCTTTTTTTGTTATTCTAAATGTCAAGTTATTTCTTATTCCTGGCTTCCCACTTGATCGACTGCTGGGTGTTATTATTGCTGTTAATGGTAATCGATTCTCGTGTATTTGAGATAAGGACGTTTCAGGATTATTATTTAGAAGGGGCTGTATGAGTTCACTTTGTTTTTTGATATAATCACCAATTGAGTCTTCGTTCGACCATCCTGTAAAAAATATGATGAGTTTTGTTTTCTTCTCTAAGATAATAATCACACTCTATACGCAGATACCAGTTTCGGTTAACGATCGTTATTGGAACTGGTCACAACCGAAAGAAACCGAAATTTTTTGAAGAACGTTTCCAAAACTAAATTAGACAGTAGTGAATATAGAATTAATTGCCATCCGCGAAGCAGAACTTTTTTCCAATCTGTAAATCCTTTCGCTCTAGCAGTATGGGCGTTCTAAATTTCTGAAAGCTATTGGAAGTCCTGGTTTGAAAAAAAGCTTTATTTTCTAAGCAATTTGCACTATTGCATATAGATCCCTGGAAAAAATAAGTTTTCCTCGGTATTTTGAGGATATTGTTACCAAAAGAACGTATCCTTTTTAAAGTAACGATATATTCTGAAAGCCCGTGAAATTTTATATCATCCTGTATACTTTTATTTTTGTTTGGATCGCTGTGTAAAAAAATTATTCGAGTGAAGTGAACACACCCTCAGTACCTCATTTCCACACACTTAATACAATCATTGTTATTTCGTATAGTTTTTCAAGATTTTTTCAGTATTACAAATAGGTTTTGAAAAAAGTAATCATATATTCTGATAGAACTTGAAATTCTCTGTCACCCTATATATTTATATATTGTCTTGCATTTACCTGCTGGGAGAAAATTTGAATGCAGTAAAGGCAATCTACTTTGACAAGTACAAAAAAGTACATATTTTTCGCTACTTCTTCAGTATTTTGTACAAATTATTATAACTATAAGAACACTCTTTTACAAAAGTAATTGTGTATTTTGATAGCCCGTGAAATTCTCTATCATTCTATGTATTTGTGTCGTGTTTTGCATTTATGTGTCAAAGAATAATTCGAATATTATTTAGGCATCCCAGAGTTGTAGCCGGTCCGGTTGAAATGGTTGGACCGACCTGTTTTTACCGGTCTAAATAAATTTTTTAGTCGTAAAACTCCCTCTAGTCCCCCTCAGGATTAAGTCATAAAATGAATTTCACAATTTTCTAGATATACAATTTTTTTCAATAAAATATGTCGAGAGTAAGTCTAAGTTCTTTTATCAAAGATAATCATATTGTTACAAAAAATATCAACCTTATTTTCTTCAATTTGCCTAAACTTTTTCATTTTTTTAATCGAAATTTTTTTTAATTCGTTAAAAAGCTCAATCAGAACAGTGTTAGCTGAGAAAAACTTCTCAACTTATCTCAATAATGTGTTTTGTTAGAGACCAGATTTAAGATGTCACTGCAGTTCAAAAGGAAATATTAGTTTTTTTGCAAAATCTAAGTAAAAAAATTTAAGATTTGCAGATTACCAATTGAGTGGCAAGTAGATGCCTGTTTTTTCTCGAGATAGAAACATCACATATTCATCTTTGGGAAAACTTGCAGATATAAACGACTGTGGCGTCACATTTCTTCTTGAGTATTAATAAAAACGTGAGTAAGGAACACGCAGATGGGTGTTTTTTGAAGCCTCTCGTTTTAACTGGCAGTACATGACCTAACATACCGGTCTGAAAACGTTTTTTCAACCGGCCAGACCGGACCGGTTTGTAAATTCTGAACCGGTTACAACTCTGAGGCACCCTCCTTGAAAAACTCTAACAAACTGCACGTTTTTACTATCTCTTTAGTTTTTAAGTTCAAAAGTTCAGGATAACAGAGAATTTCAAGCGCTATCAGAACATAGAACTGCGTGTGCAAAAAGTTATTTCTATAGTGATGACAAATCTGAAATAAAAACCAAAGAGATAGTAAAAAGTCTGGTTATTTAGGTTTCCAAACTAGGGTGCCTAAATAATATTCGAATTATTCTTTGACACATAAATGCAAGCCAAGACATAAATACATAGAATGAGAGAATTTCACGGGCTATCAGAGTGTATATTTACTTTTGTAAACATTTATTTCCATAGCAATAATAATTTGAAAAGTCCTAAAAAGTGGTGCATTTTTGTACTTGTCAAAGTAGATTGCCTTTACTGCATTCAAATTTTCTCCCAGCAGGTAAATGCAAGACAATATATAAATATATAGGGTGACAGAGAATTTCAAGTTCTATCAGAATATATGATTACTTTTTTCAAAACCTATTTGTAATACTGAAAAAATCTTGAAAAACTATACGAAATAACAATGATTGTATTAAGTGTGTGGAAATGAGGTACTGAGGGTGTGTTCACTTCACTCGAATAATTTTTTTACACAGCGATCCAAACAAAAATAAAAGTACACAGGATGATGTAAAATTTCACGGGCTTTCAGAATATATCGTTACTTTAAAAAGGATACGTTCTTTTGGTAACAATATCCTCAAAATACCGAGGAAAACTTATTTTTTCCAGGGGTATAAACGCTTTTGGAAGGCAAGAAAGTAAAGATATCACTTCTAAGCCTCTCGTCTGAATAAAACGTTTTGGAGATCGAAAATCAGATCTGAAGTAATGATGACCCTTTCTTTTACTCTGTAGAATGTCTAATTCAGTTTACAAAAATCAATCTTAAGGGAATTCTCGTTACTAGATAATTACGTGTTCGGTTTTAACCAGTTTCATTCTCTTCATTTCCGGTGTCTTCGGATGAACGCTATATTTCTTACCATTCACAATTAGTACATTTGATGGTGGCAACGTAGTAGTGTTAGTCGTAGAAGCTGACGACAGAGTTCTTGATCTTGATCGTTGTGCTTCTTCATGATGTTCTACAAAAAAAAAACACAGATTTATCTTCATTTTGTATTACCTTTGAAATGCGCAGTAAAATGAAATAGATAATGATACCTTTTAAACGATGTGCTGCACCAAAACATTCTATTGCTTCAAATGCCTTAATTAAATATGTAAAATCTTTATTGGATATTTTTCGTTGATCAAATAATGTTTCAAAAACATTTAATGTATTTGCTACTGATGTATGATCTGCATCTCGTAAACGACGTGATATATTATCACCTAATAAAAACTTTAATTTCATACAATCATTATCCGATAAACCATCTAAGATTTTTAGTAATATACAACGAAATTGAAATTCTGGTTCTTCTTCCATAATGTTAGTCAACCGATTTTAGTGAGAGTTCGATATAACATATCAATTTTCTTCATTGACGATTTACAAAAAAATATATAGTTTCCAATCGAGGTGTTAATACAGAACGAAAATTTCTCTGCATCTCTTGTATCCCATTTGTGACCAAGAAATAACGTTCGATTTGCTTGACTATTAAATAAATTTTATTTTATAGTCATAGTAGCCCTGTTTCAAACAACAACGTGTTTTGGGTAAAAGGAAAATGTTATAGGTCTGATAAAAGATCACATATATATACTGATGGAAAACGTACATACTATTTTTGCTTGTACTGACAATCTATCAAGAAAAAGGAACGAAAAAGAACTCTTTCATAAACAGGAAGACTGTCGTACTATTAATATGTGCTTATCTGTACAAAAAACAAAGGAAAAAGGATGATGTCATTAGAAGAAAGAAACGAAAAAAAAGAAAAGGTTCTACATGTTAAAGATATACATATATATATAGTATATTATATGTATATACGCATTTTGTTTTATGAGAAACTTTTCCCATGGTAATGACGTTAGGTTTACTATTTGCATACTGTTGTAACTGCTCTAGCTGCCCCTGAGTTTTTATCGTTCATTTAGAGAACCTAAAGAAGACCAAATAAGGTAATAACCGAGCTGAATCTCGTGGCAAAGTTTATTTTGTTCTCACAGTCTCAAACATTTCAGATGAAAAACTTTTAAGAAAATAAGCTTTCTGTTATGTTAAGTCGCTTGTTACAGCAGCAAATTTTGCTTAGTACTTTTTTTTTCTGCGGTTTAACTGTTTTCTACAAAAGCTTTTTAAAAGGTTTCCAGAATTGCAAAGAAAAGGAATGGTATAGATTGTGTTTTTTCGAGCTCTTTTGGCAATAGACACCAGATTGAACGTATGCTAAATTTCAACCTATTCGGTTGAAAACACGAATGGCACAAATTTTTCTATTGCAACTCGATCCAACGTCATAAACCTGATTTTCTTAAAAGAATTTCTGATCTGGATTTTAAACAATCCTACAATATGCAGTGTGACCGATAATCTCTATTTAATGTATTTTTGACATTCTCAAACTTTGATCACAGTCGATGCATTGGTCCTCTGGAAACTGCTTTTTCATCGAAATCATGGTAGATGTCAATCTGAGACTTGTACTAATGGGTAAGTAAGATTATATTATACTTTCTTTTTTGTAAAATAAAATAAGAAAACCTATAAAGGTTTGATATTGAAAATTATATTTCTTTCTCGAAAAGAAACGCTTTTCGGATTGATAATGGATGTCTACAACATACACCATTCGTTCAACTATCTCGTTTTTATCAATAGTGCCTGAAATTATGTGAGTAAAAGACGTTAGTATCAGCTTAGTAATATTCAGATAACTATGCTAAACCAATTAAGCGTCCATTTAGAGGAAATTTCCAATTTTGAAGTTGATGGCTACTGAATATAAACTCAGCGAACGTATCACTACAAAAAATTGATATAGTCATTGTCCTGTAATGGAAGGTGGTCCATAAAAATATTAAACAGTGCCTGACCCCTCGTTTCGCAGTATAAAAAATCAAAAGTATCTCTCATCCTAAGCAAAAATGTACGAAAACCTCAAATATTTTTTTTTACTAAAAACTAGAAGAAGATCTGAATTTCAATTTCAAAATGAAACGCCAGAGTCTCTTAAAATACTGCTGTTGAGCATGTCATTACAGCATGTTCAATAGCTTAACTTTTCGACAGTAATTCATGATTTTCAGCCAACACAGAAAGTCCCGAAATCATTTCAATTGTTAAGTGAATTTCATTATTTTTTACGTAAGTTACATTATAAATAATTGATTCTCATTTGACGTTGACATTATCATCTCTAATCATGTTATAGAGATCGTGTACTATTAGATTTCAAAATTCTTCATTCTTCACATGATCTTAACATCTTGACACATGATCGTGACATCTTTAAAACATAAGCAAAATTTTTTGCTATTGTTTGTAATTGTTCTCGTTGATGTTGTTTAGCGTGCAATAACACTCCTACATAATCACTTGAACGAAGTTGATCAGTTAAGAGAGAATCCGCGAGAAAACAGACTACATCAGCCGGAGCTAAAATGTTTTTTTTCTGTTAGTATTCTAGTTCGAAAGAGCGCATCGAAAAACTAAGAAATCCGAGATATCTTGCCTTCGTATGGCACTGTTCATGAATTTGGGGGTCTTAACTTTTCAGTCATCACCAGAAGCTCCATTTGTGGATGAAATCAATGTTTCTTTAATATCTCAGAAACAGCCTGATCCTTACGGCTCGTTCACATCTCATATGAAAGAGGAATGTTTGGTCTACCAAATCACTGCAAAAAGGTACAGTGAAAGGTAACATCCTGGGCGACCACAAGGCAAAAACTAGAAAAAGCGCTTTTTCTCAATCATACTTTTTTTTAATATTTTGAATCTAGAATGCGCGAGTCCAGCTTGACCAAAAAATAAATTATATTATTTTGTATGGTTGATAATTCTTCATCGATTGATATGTAAAAGAAAATTTTAAATCACTAGGAGGAGGTTTTTTGAAGAGGTGCAAGTAAGGAAGTGTTGCATTTCGAAACGTTTAGCTGATTTTCATTTTTTGAGGAAAAATCTTCATAGTTTTTCAATGCGAAAATTCGACAAAAAATTAAAGTAGTCAGATAGGATCGAAATGCACATCAGTCGACTCAGTTGTTGATTCTGATTCTGAATATGATACTTTTGTTGCATAAAACTTGAGTTCTGATAAAGAAAATTGAGAATTACAGGCACAATTGCAAATTTTTCGCGTCTTATTCAGAAAAAATGAATTTTGTCAGCAGTGGAAAAGAATTTTAAGAAAAGGTCTGTGTACTTTTTTTGTCCGTGTAAAGACGAATCGAATGCGGTGTAAATCACGGCTCCGCCCGTTAACAAAAAAGCTAAATAGGTTTGCAAAATTTGTTGCAAAATTAGTTGATTATGAATTTTTGCTTTGGTCATACGATATAGAATCCGACTTTAAATAATATTTCTAGAGTCAGTTTGAAATGCGGAATCATACGCAGATTATGAATTTGACATCGGTGCATGTCGAAGGACCGAAAAAAACTGAAGAAATAATGAATTATTGAAAATCGTCTCCATAAATGCACAACACCTCCCTACTTGCACCTCTTCAAAAAACCTCCTCCTAGTGATTTAAAATTTTCTTTTACATATCAATCGATGAAGAATTATCTTCAACGATCCTTGTTGATTTGATTGAACATTTTTAACCGACTGTGCTCATGTTTTATAGATATAGATGATTACCATTATTTAACAATTAGTTTCATGGTGAAATGTCCCATGTCAAATTCAGATAATGCAGTTATAGAAGGAAATACGTGTTAATCTTCAACTGATAGTTGTGAGACAGCACTGTTATATCATTCAGAACATAAAGACATCACATGTAATCATATGTTTAGAAATGTAACTCTTCTTTGTCCTTCTGAGCTATATGACCGTCGTGTTCTTTTCTATTCTTCTTACGTCATGTTCTACCCTGTACTACTAACGTCACCATTCTTTTCCATCTGTTTCTCGTATGTTCAACTATATGTAACTTTCATATACTTAAGGCTATCCAAAAGTAGTGAGGAAGGTACTATTTTTTCTTATAGAAAGCTTGAAAAATTTTTCTTTTTCTATGAGCAGATAGAGCGTCTTTCGCTCTATTTTTCTATGCTATTTGATCACTATTCAACTAATATCATAATAATAAAATTTCGATAAGATCTATTTCTTTCGCATATGTGCTGGTAGCATGAACGCTCCTAAGTACTTTTTGAATAATGTTTAATAGCAATAAGATAGAGAACTGCGGTTTTCACCATTGGAAAGAGGAGATGAAGACACATCGAACCATATATTACTGATTTTGCTAACCTGTTTTTTGTAAGGTTTTTAGTTGACCTTTTAAAGAACAAACCTATCCTGTGAGTTGTTTACAGTGAATAGCCAATAATCACAGTCATATCAGGGCCGGCGCGAGCAAAATTATGATACTGAGTGAAAATTTATTTTTGCGCCCCCACTCCTTCCCGAAAAAAAAAAAAAATAACTTTATTGCACAATTATATTACAAAACATTACACATAGAATACATAGAAATAAAGATTTGTTTTGTTTAAGCAAAATTTTTATAAAGAATTAAAAATTGACTTTTCTCGCTTTAGCAGCGGCAAATAAATTAATACATGTAGTTAAATTAATATTTTTGATTGTGTCGTGTTCTATTGACAGAATTGCAAGGGATTTTAATCTTTCTTGTGACCTATTGGACCGTAAATAGTTTTTTATTAGTTTTAATTTACTAAAAGAACGCTCCCCACTCGCAACGGTCACTGGGATTGTTAATAAAATCCTCATGCTAATCCATATATTGGGGAATATGTCTTGCAACTTCCGATTATGTATGAACTGAAGAACATGTCTCGGAGCATCTCATGGCTCAAAATACTTTTCAATGTGAAACAATTCGTCACAAAGTTCTAAGCCATTTACATCGCTTGATTCTTTGTCCTTCAGATGTACCTATAAATCCATACAATGTTTTAATAGAACTTCACGTGGTGGGAGATTTTTAATATTATACAGAAAATTCCATATACTTGTGTGATATTTTAATTAGTCAAAACGATCTTTAATTGAGGAAATCGCTGTATCGAGTAACGGCAGAAATACGGTTGTTTTAAACAATATTTCAGAATTCTTTGAGCAATCATCTTTTCTCTCATAATCAAAAAGAGCTTTTTTCCTTCTACAGCGCTGCTCTTTAACGATTGACTCAATTTCTAATTGTTCAGCTATTTCTTTTGCAAGTACTTTTGAATTTTCAAATCCTGTGATTCTGTATTGATTTAAAAATTTACCACAACCTTCCATTGATAACGAATTGCTTTAACAGCCTGAATGCGACATTCCCAGCGTATTTCACA